AAAGTAATTAACTTTTACCTATAAACTCAACTCCTATTCATTTATTTGGCCTCAGAGAATTTTCCAGTACTCAAAGGTAATTAACTAAAAACAATGAAAAACTGTAAACAGGGTAAATAGGCATTTTACTTTCTGTTTCAAAAATATGTGTTTCTATTAATATCATAATTTACTCAGTTATAGTCTTTCTTTTGCAAAATATCCATTTTCTGAGATCAAAGCTTTTCCCTGGGCTATATAATTATATGTTACAAAAATTAGGTATTTCCTACCAAATCTAACCAAAGCAACCAGAGACCCAAATGAGATTAGTGAGGATCAACTAAATAGTAGTGTTTGAAAGTTGTTTGGTAATGACAATGCCAGGTATGTTAAAATACTTAGATTACACTATAATTTATAAATCGTCTTCGGGTCTGAGATAATTTAGGTTTCAAATGAAAGAAGTCAAAGAAAGACATCCCTAGCATCTGAGAATGTGTACATGTTAGTTCAAATTTCTCTTTTTTAAAGTAGATGTATAGATAATAACTTCTTTCCTTTTCAAAATAGTATTATAGTTATCCTATGTTAATAAAGAAATGTTCAGGTAATAAATGGTCCCCAAGAGTGTAGAGATTTTTTTAATGCTGAGTATGATTTTTTTGTTTCTTTAGACTTTAAAAAAAAGCAATTTTTTCTTTTTAAGCTTTTGAGTTTCTTCTGCATCACAGGTAATGATAAAATATAAATCACATAATTTAAAATACAGGTGGAAATTTAAAAAACGTAAAAATTTTGGCAAACCAAACTTTATAGATGAAGCATAGTATTTAATTTGGTTGCATGGTAAATTTTTTTCCCAGCAGAAAAGTGGAAAGATGAGCTATGGTATGACATGTATCTAGCAAGTAAATGCCAATGTCTAGGTATCCTACACATGAAAAGTCTAGAACAATGTAGAAACTAGCTTATTGACAAAATGGCAAGTGAGAACCTCCTAACAACTACAAAGAAAGGCTCTGTCTGGGTACTTAAAAATCAATGAAGTTTTGTTTTTGAAAGTTTGAAACAGTGAAAAAATAGTTTCATTGAACAAACAATGCCTTAACCTGAAAATAATGGTGCTAACATTGGAACTTTCTCACTCTTGACTGAGAGATGCAGGAGATTTGGTTATGGGTATCTTTAGGGAGATCAACCAGCCCATTTGCATTTCCAGGGATTTCTAAACTGGATTTTCAGTTTAGAAATTAGGACAGTCTCAGGTAAACAGGGACAGTTGGAAACCCTACGGTATGTTTTCATATCCCTGATTTACACCTTATATAAAGCAAACCAGGTACTGCACTTTGGTTCCATAGTTAGTTTCATTAGGCACTTTCAATCAAGTTCATTTTTTGATGGTGCAATTTCTTTAGCAACTTAGTAATGATACTTGTAAATTCTGACAGTTTATAACAGAGTTTAGTAATGGTTTAATTACCAGCTATACAAAATACTCTATGTTTAATTCTTTGAAAGTTCAATTAAGTGAGCAAATTCCTTCAAATTGGGCAATTGATACTTTCTCTTACTTGCCAGTTCCTAAATGATATTTTTCCTGCAAGAATGGGGTTCTTATAAAGTTATGTATGATTTAAGATGCCCTTTCTCAACTTCAACTAGTGATTTCTAACTCCATCTCATTTGAGGAGGATTACACAGAGACCATGACGTAAACATGTAGAAAAATAAAGTGAGCTGTGAATGGGTTATAATATATTCACCATTCATTCATCCAATTTCCTTTTGGAGCAGATGAATATCTGTTGTCTTTGAGATAGACACTATCTCATAGAGAAGCAATTAATTCATAAAACTTTATATATGCCTACATGTAGGTCATTTATGACATCAAATGAAATAATCTCCATGCAATTTTATAGCTCTCTAGGATGGCATCTATGATTTGAAATTCTCAGTGTGAAAGGCTTTCCCAGCACAGCATCATCAGTTGACAAAAATTGCTTGGAAAACTTGCTTACTGTGAATTGATGTTTGGATGTTATATTATACTTTAAACCCCTGATTTTTGCACAAAATATGAAAACTATGGATAAGTACATGAAAAGAAGTAAAAGGGTCATGTTTTCACTTAATGTTAATACATAGACAGCTGGTTAAAAATATACTTATAAAATAGAATATACTTAAAAATATCTAGTGCTATTTAAATTATTACATCTGTGATTGATAGTAGTGTGTTCAAAGGCACAATTGACCTTAACACTTAAACATAGTACAGATTTCACTCATTACATAAAAAAAGTCCTTAGCTTTAGGTTGTGTAATGATAAACTGTACCTGCTGAAAAATATATGTGCAAGATAGAAATAATTTTAATACAAATAGGACTCATCTGCAGGCATTCATTTATTCCAATCCAGCAACCATGGTAAATGTGTTTGGATTTCCAGGCATAAGTATGAAACACTTGAAGGGGTGGAGACCTTTATTAAAACAGAAGGCTCCTCGAACTCTACAATGTCAGAAATATAGGTCCTTGGAGCACATTATTGTTTTAAACGGAGGTCCCCACACTTTCACATTGGTTATAAAACGTTATTTTGTGCTGCTGGCCTAGAATGAGAATGTCATACATCTGCAGGCAATTAGAAGAAGCTGGACTGCATGTTTGATTAGCTCAATAATAAACCGGCACAAGTGTGACTCGACTTTTGTTAGTCTGATTCCCTAGACAGATTATCCTGTTGTTAGCATATGAAATAACCCCTTTTATCAACAATTAAGTAAATCCACATTTATGGGCACTTTGCAAAATTGTGATGTGGGAAGAAATCCAGCTTAAGCTTTAAGTCATCCAAAAACTTTTAACCCTGCTTTCAGTGATACAGACCCCAATATCAAATTTTAGAAATTGGTTGAATAATGCAGGCCATTTTGGGTTGGAAATACCCTGTGTGCTCACAATCAGTAAGTATCTAGCATCTATCATAAGCAAGACACTTGATGGTTTTAGCTTATAACTAAAAAAAATCCTCAAAGAAGTAAGAATTATAAATATTTTAATATGTGAAAAGTAACTTACTTTGTAAGGTGGTCTAAATCTTTTTAGGAAAAATTAAGTAGGATTTCATTTTTATTATTCACATTTTATTATAAAGCTTCAACTGTAACTAATGCATGTTTTAAGTCCTGAATATGTCTTATTCTAGAACTTCATCTTATTCTAGGCATCATTCTTGAATTTAACCACAATTGTCAATGATGAACTAAAACTACCTTGATAAATAATCCATTTAATTTATATGCTTTTATTTTTCTTCTAAGTGTCATTAAAACATACATATGAAGTGTGAAAAATAATTCAATATATGAAAGTCAATAAAGAAAAAAATTCGGCAAAACTTTTCAGTTTCAGGAAAAATACCACCAAATATTCTGATCTTATTTTATATTTAAATAACACAATTAAAAGTTGGTGTATTAAATAAATTCAAGATTTTAAAAATCAATTTTACTCAAGTATATGTATATAAAATAACCTCATGAAGTTATCTTGACATAATCTTTAAATTAAATATTGAAATATTAAGCAGATGCTGAAGCATTCATCATCAATATTGGAATTCTGACTCATGACAGTAACACCAAACAGATGCTAATATGATGCGCCCTCTGAAAAGTGACACCATCCCAGCATGGGTTAGCTCTTGATGTGTGGGGTACTTAAAATTTGAACACAAAATATAAAATAATAGAGGGCAGAGCATGGCGGTAGGTGTCTCTACTTCATTTATAAGCCATTTAGAATCTACTATCTCTTATACATAGAATAAAACTCAACACTGGTAAATAAGGGGAAGCGTCCAGTGGGGAGAGAGATGCGTCTTTTACTTACTGCAGGAGGTAGGTGATCCTAACTGAAACCCTTCAGTGTTGGAGGCAGGAGGGTGCTATCTTTCTCACTAAAAGCAGGTAGAAGGTAAGAACTCCTGGAGTCTTTCCATTGGCCAGTGTGTACCAGGCACTTATGATATAATAAGGGGTTTACCCAGTCTGCCCCTGGCAGTGAAAAAAAGAGTCTGGGATTCTCCTATAGCCCATCTCAGTAACACAATCTTCACACAAGGCAGATCTAAAAGGGTTTGCTAAGTAGGAAAAGGGAAACAAAATCCCTTAGCACAGTTCAATTATCTAATATCTTTCACATCTTCAAAGTCCAAGATTCTTATCATTTTGCTAGCAAGAGTCTACAGCTGTTCCTAGAATACACAGCAATGTGTACTCTTGGTGAAAATAAACAGAAAAACCCAGGCAGATGGTGCTATGGTGCAAGTGATATAAGCAAAATGTGCTTAAACAAGGGCTTAAAAAGAGATATAAATGTGGGCAGGAAAGACTCCCTCAAAGGTAGCGAAAAGCAGTTCAATATCTTTATTCCCTCAGTGGGAAAAATAAGTCAGTGGCAAGTTCAGTGAAAAGAAAGCTTGAGAATCGAAAGGGGGACCTTCATGGAGTTGCTTGACAGCACAATTTCAAATTCCAAATCAATAACCTGACTGCTCCTTCTGATAGCTGTGACACTGGCCCTGCCTGCCTGGGTTTGAAGACTGGCTCTGCACTCACCACCTGGGTGACCCCTGGTTTTTAAACTTGGTTGCACACTGGAACTACATGGGGATCTTTAACAAATACTGATGGCTGGAACTATCCCCAGAGACTGTTAATTGGAGTGGGTTGTGGCTTAGATATTAAGAAGTTTTAAAGGTTCCCAAATGACTAAATATGTGCAGCTAAGGTTGAGAACCACTAATGAAGCCACAGTTTCCTCATTAGTCTATCAGCAACCACCTTTCAGGATTATTGCAATGATTAAATATGATAATCCAGGCAAAGCACTTATTTAGCACAATGTCTGGCGTGTGAGTAGCTCTCAATAAATGTAAGCTGTTATCCTCACCACAAGGTGCACTTGGGCAAGAATTTTTCTTGTTAGTATATTAAGTCATGCTTACCTTGGCATATGTTATGCTCACTCTGCTCATAGCCTGTTGCACATTGGATCCGATGAGAAGGGTTGGAGGGAATGCGTTGAGGGTCAGCTGGGTTCCGTCGGATGACAAAGTTATTTCGGCCAGTCTGCACTTCAGGGCCTGCAACTGCAGCTGCACTGGCGACCAGTCCACCCCCAGGCACTACTCCACTTGCAGCCATGCCACTGGCTGCTACGCTCCCAGTGGCTCCACCTGAGGCTGCAGCTGCATTTGCTGCTGCACCCACAGCTTCAGATGCTGGTGTTTCTTGCTGTGGTTGTTCATTATTGACAATAATCTGGGCTGTTTTAGGAAGACAGAGGTATCCTCCATAGTGGTTGACACATTTCATTCCACCTTTGCAAGCATCTGGGACAATGTCACATTCATCGATATCTGGTCAGTAATAAAATAAGTCAGGAATCTTCTTAGAGGGGAAACCAAACATGTAAATATATGCTCATAACTATTTGGTAATAATATAGACAGGACTGGAAGAGTGACACATGAGATGGAGAAAGAAAACTATGTTCAAATGGGACGTCTTTGAACTGGCTCACCTTTGCACTGCTGTCTTATAGGATCCCACTCATATCCATCTGTGCATTGCTGCGAAGAAAACATGAAAGAAGAGGCCAAGAGATAGTTAATTGGTGTGTTAACTCCCTAAGAAGTCACTCTAAAAGCTGCTTCTAATGGCAAAAATCCTTGCACTACAGTTCTATAGAGATGATAAAATTCATAGTTTCCTTTCTTAAAGACAGATCTATGCTTTGAACCACTTCTGGGCTTTCCTCTCAGTCACCAGCTACCTCAACTCTTCTGTTGCATTTGGTACAGTTACACATCAACATGCTCTTGGTATTATTTTCTGTCTTGATACTAATCTCCAATCTCTCTGGCTACTCTTTCATTGCATTATTTGCCCCTTCTTCCACATTTTAAGTTTTATGGAAAAAAACCACTTTTTTTCAGTCCTTGACTCTTTCCCTCTCTTTCTTTCAATCCTCTTAGAGCTTCCGAGCACCTGGCTTTCCTTCTCATTCCTATTCAGCTGAATTCTGAGCTTCCCACTCACACTCTGGCCTGCCTCCTAGATTCAGTTCCTACAGGTCCGCTCTAGCTCGCTCACTGAAGAAACCATCTATTGAGTACCTTCTCACACCCAACATCATCCTAGTCCCTGGGGATACAAAGGTCATGAAGACCTTGTCCCTGTGCTTAAGCAGCTCACAGGTCAGAAAAGGAGACAGACAGGTAGACAAGGTGGAGCAAGGTGTCAGGTGCCATGACATAAGTTATGTGTGTGCAAGGAGTGATAGTCTCTGTCCAGGGCTGTGGGTGGACCTGACAAGGTAGAAGGGAATGCTTTATGGGGGACGCCACAAGTGAATTTTCCAGAGAGATGTGGAAATTCTAGGATGAAGGACCATATTAGTAAAGGTCCAAAACTGTTAAAAAGGGAAGAAACTGTAAGTGGCCCTGGGTGAGTGGGGATAAGACTAGGAGGTAGGCAGGGCCAAATTTGGGAAGCCTTTCTTTGGGACAGGAAGGAACTGAATTCTACCATGATAGTCAGTGAATCTCAAGCTTTATTATGCTTAAGAATCGCCGAAGCTGCTTGTCAAAATGCTGACTCTGGGCCCACTCAAAGGATCTGATTCTATAAGTCTGGGAAGGGCCCTGGCATCTGAATGCCTAACAAGCATCCCAGGTGATTCTGATATAGGTTGTCCTTGGGGTACTTCTTGAGAAACACTGCCAGAAGTGATATGAGGCCTCTGAAGAATTTTTAATCTCAAGAAAACATTTGACCAGCTTCAGAGGAAGAACCAGAACATTTGAAAACAAGAAATAGCAAGAGTTAGTGAAGATGTGGAGAAAAGGGAATCCTTCTATACTGTTGGTGGGAATGTAAATTCGTCCAGTCACTGTGGAAAACAATATGGAGGTTCCTCAAAAAAGTAAAAATAGAAATACCTTATCACCTAGCAATTGCACTTCTGGGAATTTACCTGAAGAAAACAAAATCACTAATTCAAAAAGGTACATGTGCACCTCTGTTTATCACAGCATTATTTTCAATAGCCAAGATATGGAAGCAACCCAAGTATCCATTGACAGATGAATGGTAAAGACAATGTGGTATATATATACAATGGAATATTATTCAGCCATAAAAAAGAAAGAAATCTTGACATTTGTGACAATGTGGATGAACCTAGAGGGTATCATGTTAAGTAAAATAAATCAGGTACAGAAAGACAAATACAATATGATTTGGCTTACATATGGAATCTAAAACACAAAACAAAAACGAACAAACAAGAAATAGACCCATAAATAATGACAACAGACTGTTGGTTACCATAGGGGAGAGGAGTGAGGGGATGGGTTAAAAGGTGAAGGGTATAAAGAAGTACAAACTTCAAATTATAAAATAAATTAGTTATAGGAATGGTAATACAATATAATATTGTAATATCTTGGTATGGTAACAGGGGATAACTACACTTACCATGGTGAGCATTTAGTAATGAATATGATTATTGAGTCACACTATGTTGTACATCTGAAACCAATATTGTATACTAGCTATATTTCAATTAAAAAAAGAATTATCAGAGGAGAGCCAAGATGGCAGCGTGAGTAGAGCAGCAGAAATCTCCTTCCAAAATCATACATATTTTTGAAAATACAACAAATACAACTATCCCTAAAAGAGAGACCAGAAGACACAGGACAACAGCCAGACCACATCCACACCTGTGAGAACCCAGTGCCTCGCGAAGGAGGTAAGATACAAGCTGCAGCCCGGTGGGACCCGAGCGCCCCTCACCCCAGCTCTTGGCGGGAGGAGAGGAGTCAGAGCAGGGAGGGAGAGGGAGCCCAGGACTGATAAACACCCAGCCCTAGCCACCCGCATCAGAGCGCAGACACACAGTGCGTGCGTGGGGTGCTGGAAACTAGGGAAACAGGACAGTAAGACCTGTGAGTGGGTTCCTGCAGCTGGCACACCTGGGACAAAGAAAAGCAAGTGCTTTTTGGAAGTCTTAAAGGGATAGGGACCCTACAGCTGATGGAAGCACCCTGGGACACTTAGCCCAGCAGCTGTGAATCTGGGGGAACTCTGGGTGCCCGAACCCCTGCAGCACAGCTCGGAGGCCCCTCACCATGATAAACAGCCTCCCGCCTGTTCCCCCTCCAATGTGACTCTGCCATATTGGAGCAGCAGCCTGAGGCAGACCATGCCCCCAGCAACTGCAGAGCTAAATAAACTCCATAGTGGCCGGACAAGATCAGTAGCCCCGTCTGCACACAGCTGCCCAGCACAAGCCGCTAGAGATCACTGTTCTCCCAGGAAAGGAAGGCTATAAACTGGCAAGAAAGGACTTTCTCTTACCCAACACATGCGCCAGCTCCCCACAAATATATCTATCACCATGAAAAGGCAGAAGAAATCGATACAGACCAAGATCACAGAGGCAAACCTGAGAAGGAGATAGACCTAACCAGTCTTCCTGAAAAAGAATTAAAAATAAAGCTCATAACCATGCTGATGGAGCTGCAGAGAAATATGCAAGAGCTAAGGGATGAAGTCTGGAGGGAGATTACAGAAATGAAACAATCTCTGGAAGGATTTATAAACAGAAAGGATAAGATGCAAGAGGCCATTGATGGAATAGAAACCAGAGAACAGGAACGCATAGAAGCTGATGCAGAGAGAGATAAAAGGATCTCCAGAAATGGAACAATATTAAGAGAACTGTATGACCAATCCAAAAGGAACAATATCCGCATTATAGGGGTACCAGAAGAAGAAGAGAGAGAAAAAGGAATAGAAAGAGTATTTGAAGAAATAATTGCTGAAAACTTCCCCAAACTGGGGGAGGAAATAATCGATCAGACCATGGAAGTGTACAGAACTCCCAACAGAAAGGATCCAAGGAGGACAACACCAAGACACATAACAATTAAAATGGCAAAGATCAAGGCAAGGACAAGGACAGAGTTTTAAAGGCAGCTAGAGAGAGGAAAAAGGTCACCTACAAAGGAAAACCCATCAGGCTATCATCAGACTTCTCAACAGAAACCTTACAGGCCAGAAGAGAATGGCATGATATATTTAATGCAATGAAACAGAAGGGCCTTAAACCAAGAATACTGTATCCAGCATGACTATCATTTAAATATGAAGGAGGGATTAAATAATTCCCAGACAAGCAAAAGTTGAGGGAATTTGCCTCCCACAAACCACCTCTACAGGGCATTTTAGAGGGACTGCTCTAGATGGGAGCACTTCTAAGACTAAATAGATGTCACCAGAGAAAATAAAATCACAGCAAAGAAAGCAGACCAACCAAATACTAACTGAAGGCAAAAAATAAAATCAACTACCCACAAAAGCAGTTAAAGGAAGCACAAAAGAGCACAGAATAAAACAACCAACATATAAAGAACAGAGAAGGAGGAATAAGAAGGGAGAAAAATAAAGAATGACCAGACAGTGTTTAAAATAGCTCAATAAGTGAGTTAAGTTAGACAGAAGATACTAAAGAAGCTAACCTTGAACCTTTGGCAACCATGAATCTAAAGCCTGCAATGGCAATAAGTACATATCTTTCAATAATCACCCTAAATGTAAATGGACTGAATGCACCAATCAAAAGACACAGAATGGATAAAAAAGCAAGACCCATCTCTATGCTACTTACAAGAGACTCACCTCAAACCCAAAGACTATAGGAACAAAGAAAGACTGAAGGAACAAAACAGCAGCAGAATCATAGAACCTAAGAATGGACTAACAGTTACCAAAGGGAAAGGGACTGGGGAGAAAGGGAGGGAAGGGAGGGATAAGGGTGGAGAAAAAGAAAGGGGACATTACGATTAGCATGTATAATGTAGGGGGGGTCATGGGGAGGGCTGTGCAACACAGAGAAGACAAGTAGTGATTCTACAGCATCTTACTACGCTGATGGACAATGACTGTAATGGGGTTTGTGGGAGGGATTTGGTGAAGGGGGGACCCTAGTAAACATAATATTCTTCATGTAATTGTAGATTAATGACAACAAAATAAATAAATTAATTAAAAAAAGAATTATCATTGCCAGAGATACACTAAAAATACATAGAAAAAATAAACATTCTAAGTCAGAGGCAAAAAAAAACATTTGAGGAAGATGCTTCAGGAAGGTTTGAGCAAAAGTAGAGTAAACAAATAGTAAACTTAAATTTTTTTAATGGAGCTGAGAGTTGTTGATGCACACAATAGGTGTTTGGCAAGTAAATAGCAGAATGGAGACATAGAGCTCAGTTTGGGTATTTTACTGATATCTGAAACTTAAGAGGATAAAAACTGAACTCACCTTATGTCCCAAACTAATTCTCTCTAGTTTCCCCAACGCTGTCCAAGGCACTACCATCTTTCTCAAGACCCAAGATTACAATCTTAACATCAGTAATGACTTTTCCAATGTCTTCCTTGATTTTCCTTTAAGTTCTGCTGACTTTGTGTCCATTTCTATATCAACCACATTAGAGTAAACCTTCCTAGCCTCATGAGTAGGCAAGGTTGCTCAGCTGGTCTCCATATTTCTATGTGCTGCACGCAATCTCTGGGACAATCTTTCTTGCTCTCTTGGTTATGCTACTTCTATATCTAAGAGCTCAAATTGGCCTGTAGACCTCTTATCTCCCATTTTGCCATCTCCAGGTTCTCCTTACTACCCAGTATAGCCCATATGACCTTTTTACCTCCTGGACTTGTCTTGGTTGTTTTCAACTTTAGCCTTTGATTATGCCACATGCCCTGATTCAGGTGCCTCTTCAGCCTTTCTGGGTTAATTCAGTCATCATTTCTTTCAAGAACCAGCACAGAGTTTTACATCCTCCAATATGCCAATGCTCACATTAATTACCTCCTTCTCTATTTCTTTAGCTTCTTGTATGATCTATATAATAATATTATTTGTACTTGCTTAGGAACTTTTTAGTTTTCAATGGTATTTTCCCAGGATAAATTCCCTGAGGCTAAGATGTGAATTTTCTTAATAAACAAATAAACTTCAATTCTTTTGCTGATGGTGATAATTGCTTATGCACATGGTAGATACTTGGCAAGTAAATAGCTGAAAGGATCCTATCTTTAATATGGAAGGGGAATATGAAGCTATCTTGTTCATATGAGCCCATCCTTCTGAAAAGTATCTTTCAAGCCAGGCAAAATGACAGTTCACTAGAATAATCTGTATGATAGAGAAGACTTGCATTGAGGTATTGAGTTCCAGTACATTTAATATGAATCTACTATTAAACAAGTCTAGACTGGATTTACATTCACCACTGGCTGACTTAAGCAAGTTAAAAACTCTCTCTGATCTTCACTTCTACTATCAGCAGAAGGAAGATGATGCTACTTACTTCATACTTTACTGTGAGGATGAAAGAAGATAGTATCTTCAAAGTGGGGCACTCAAAAAATAGTTACATTTTGTCCTTTAACCATGAATTATTAAGCATAAACAATTCAAAAAAGAATAGGCCTAATCTTAGCACAAAAAGGATGTCATATCTGGGAAATCTGTTATAATAGCAAACCCTGGTTAGTGGTCCTAAAATTAGTGTTTAATCTATAGGGAACTTTCTCTGCTAAGACAAATAAGACTTAAGTGGTCAGCAAAGGGAAGGGGGTATAACATAAACAACTGTAAAAGCAATTAAATATTTTATTGGATGAACATAAAAATGGGTAGTTCAGTTATTTTCAGCTCCCTAAGAAGGTAGTAAGTTAAGCCTAAATAACAAAACATTTTCATTTTAAGATTAACAACACATGCATTCATTTCTTGTGCTTTATCTTCAGCAGAGGAAGTAACTACATTTATCATTAAGTTACCAAAATATTTATGTTAAGCCTTATTTGATTTATAGTTGATCTGAACAAGGAATATTTGCCAAATGAATACTAACATTTTAGGGATAATATGATACCATAAAGTGAGATACTGTTTATTATCAGTAATTGATACTAGCTCACTTTTAATAGTTTTATTTTCCATTTTTTTTCACATTCTTTTGAGTAGCATTACTTAATTTTAAACTGGGAGCAAGTAGAAAAATGTGTTTTTCATATTGCCTCACAGCACTGAGTAAAAACTAGAAAACACAAAACAGAGGTGCAAACTCACCATAAGTGAGGTTAAGTACTGCCCTCTGTTCTCATCACATCCATTCCTGGCAGTGGAAGGGGTCAAATGACATTTTCAATATTTTTAAACATTGGTGATGCCCGTATAATTAACTCATTAAATTTTACTTGGAAATATCATGCATGCTACTTAGAAAATGTAAAACCAAATTTCACACAAAGCATTTTAAAACCACTTAAGCAAATCCTGCACCCTGAAAACATATAAAGTCGATCTGAAAGGCATTTGTATGAGTAATTAGTCACATTATAAATGAATATACCCTTTATAAAAGCCATAAAGGCTACTTGCTTGAAAATATAAGTCACATGCACAAATGAGGTGATGTGCTTTTGTGTTTGCTTATTTGGCTTGTCTTACTCTGTAGTTTTGGTTTCATCCACATGTATATAGGAATCCAGGTGTTCGATCCTTTACACCCATTACTTTATTGAATGTGTTGGAAACAGGCAGCTTACTTTGGTTTTTTGAAGTGTACCCTTTATACGTCTTGTGCAATTCATCCACATTTTAGTCCCTATCTCAATTTGGTGATCTAAATGAACTTTTGAAAGGACCATGGGCAATTTGCAACAAATCCTAAAGATGAACCATGCTAAAGGGCTGTTTAATTTATTGCTCTCCACAGAGTACAGCCCACATACACTGGCAGGAGTGGATAAAGTCTCCTTTGTGTCACAGAATCCCGCTAAACCGCTCTTATCTCAAATTCCATCACACCTTACCGTGTACGTGATAGTTTCTTCCGTGTCCTGTGATTTGACCAACGCCAGAGGCAGCATAGTTAGGAAAAGGGCTTTCAACATCATGAATCTCAAAAAAAAAAAACACAGGACAAACTGATTCTTAGTATCCGCTGCGGGGGAAATAACAAAACTTTAGCTGTAAAGTAACAAGCGAGGAAGAGAGGGTGGAGGAGGCAGAAACTGTGTCATACCCAACTTCCAATCTACTTTCGCGTCCCCCACCCCTCCAGCCTTCCCGGTAGCCAAACCAAACACCAAAGACTAAAACGGCTGCAGAACTGCATTTCACTTTACTCCATGAGGCTAAGCTGAACATACACATTTGGGATGCACCTACGCAGCAGGCTCCAAAAAGGGGGTGGAAGGCAAATAATAGAGGGTAATTAATTTCAAAGGAGATGATGCCTTTTTGGTGGGTGGAGGGTGGAGGTGGGGCAGCAAATGTTATATTATTCCTTGAACATTAAGGCTATCCTTTTATGCTCACTTGCAGCTAGTGAGGTTCCTTGCACAATTAACAGAAATACCTTCGAATTAATATGAATTACTTTGGCTTCAAACATTTTTTTTTAAACAAAACACTAAACAAGTGAAAACTCAGGGAGCAATCCCCTCCCCTCCGAAAATACCTGTACTTCAGAACTCCTTTTCACATACACCCCAGCACCAACTCTCGAAGTGGCACTTCCATGCTGTTCTCTACGCGCAACTCCGAATGCTCCAGGTTGCATGGGGGAGCAGCCCAAAGTGTCTGATTCCCTTGTGCCTCATCAGCCCCTCGCTTCCCGACATGCTACCTTCAGGATCAGGGCTGCCTAGTGCCAGAACTGGGGGACCACACTACAGCCGGGGATACCAGTTTCTTGGCCGCAGGCCTTGTGCCCAGGGGAAGTGAGGTCCCCTTTCTTAACAGTAGGTTAACAAGCGGCAGTTCTCCGGAGGTGCTTAGCTCTCCAGCTTCTAACCAGCTTTTGTGGGGTCCAGGTGTGGCTTAAATCTCGCACACTGATCCCTTGAAACTTTCAAAACCTCGTTTATGGGAAAAGCCCTGTCCCGCTGACTAGTGGCGCGCACACACATGCCCATCCAAACAGATGTCACCCCGGTACTTGCACATGCTGACAGATCGCATTCTGAGACCTGCACACCTCCATCTCCTTCTCCGCCTGAGATCCTGCACAGTGCGGGGCCAGCTCTTTGGTACACTGCACCCCAGGGTCAGCGCACTCACTCCCTGGTGCGGGGACCCTTGGGCAATGGGTGCACTGATGGGACCCGCGCATCTGGGGTTCCTACCTCCGTGGGCGCGCTGCGCTCCAGGCCCGCGCAGCAAGGGAGAGCGCAGGGAGGGCAGCCCCGTGGGTCTGAACTGGCGAGGTCTGGCAGCGGCCGCGGCGGCAGGAGGAGGAAGAGAAAGGAAAGGAAAGGGGAGGGAGCAGGAGGGCGGAGGAGAGGGCGGAGGGAGGTGCAAAGGCTGAGCCAAGCGCTCCAGGCCGGGCGGGAGAGCGCGCGGAGCCGCTGCGTCTGCGCCCCCTGGTCCAGGGGCCCTCTCCACCACCCTGCCCGCCCTCCCCTGATGGTCTCTTACCCCCAGTTGCCAGGCGCAGCGGAACCCTAGGCTGAGGATGGCACGTTGGGCATGAGATGTCTGGGGTTTGAATCAGCCTTGGTGATGTTCCAGCCTTCCGAGCAAGTTCTCTGTGCCTTGGTGCCCTGCATAGGGAAGGGAAGACATCCCGGCGCAGAGATCTTATGAGGGTCTTGAGAAATTACTTATTTTTTTCTACAGTAAGTGAATCCTAGGAAGGTAAATTAACCCCATTCACAGAACTGGTTTTATTTCCTTTTTTTTCCCCCCTTTCATATTACTTTTTTTCTGACGGGTGGTGGTGGGGGGCGGATTGGGGAGGGTGGGCTTCCTCAAATGGAGAAAAAAAAATCATTCGACAAATATTTGTGACCTACTATGCGCCAGGTGTTGGGAATGGGTCAAGTAGAAATCACACCAACAAAATTGTGAGGTGGGGTTTGTTTTTGTCTCTCAAACTTCCCTTTTTTATGGGCCCCTTTTCCCATCTACTGCTTTTCTTCTCTCCGCTGGTTCGCTTGTGGAAGTTCCCAGTACTGGTCATTCAAAGTTGGGCACTTCATTCTCACCTTGCATAATCATGGTGGAATTTCAGGAATCTGGAGGGCAAAAAAAATTTTTTTCCACTTCTTCAAATCATACCACACAGATTGTAGTTATCTTTGAAGGTTCCAACTCTAAAGTCAGATTAATAGTTTGCTTCCAAGGCAGTCACATCTTCTAAGAAGCAAACAACCAAGGAAAATATGAATGAAACAATGTGCAAACTGAAGGTATTAAGGAATTAAACCCTGATCAGGAGTGGAGGGTGGGAGAGAGAGGAACAACTCCTTTCCCTTCCTCGCTGCCCATGGGGTGAGGATGGTGGTAAACAGTGCGAGAGAGAGGCTGTCAGGCAGAAGTCTCTCTCCTTATCTCTGGGGTATGCAGTGGGTTGCTCAGACCTTGCCAGTTTGGTTGCAAGCCACAAAATATTGGACAAGATCAGAGGAGCTTCATGACCCTGAACTTCCTTGGGTATATGGAATTTGCCAATAATATTAAAAAGTTTTACCACAAAAATCAAAACAAATTTGTTTTCCCAGTCATTAATGATTCTAAACTCTAAAAAAAAAATGAGTCTTTGCTTTAATATTGTAAAAAGATCTGTCCAGACATTTTCTGCTATTTATTTTTGAATATGTTGTTTCTATCCTCAGCCTTTTCTCCAGAAAAAGTGGGTTGAAACTCCCAAATTTCTATCATCAGCCTGGAACTATTCCTATATATTTAACTGATGGCTTGTTATCTTCATCCATACACCTAATGGATATTTCAAACTAAACAGGTATGGCGAACCTCACCTTCCCTCCCTACCTACTCTACCCACCTGCTTCACCATCTCAATTAGCAGCAATTTCATCTTTCCATTTGCTCCTGTCCATTAATATTAAGTCATCCTTGAATTCTGTTTTCCTCATACACCATGCACTCAATTCTCAGAAAACTTTGGCTCCATCTCCAAAATATATCCAGAATTGGACTACTTTTAATCACTTCTTTTGTTACTACCCTGCCCTGAGCCACCATCATCTTCCACCTGGATTATTACAACAGCTTCCTAATTGGTCTTCCCACCTACACTCTTGCTGCCCTGCAGTCTTTTCTGAGTAGAAGTTCATGTAAATGGAATCCTAGAGTATGTACTCTTTTGTGGTTGGCTTCCTTCACTTAGCATGCTTTTGAGTTGCATCCTTGTTATTAGGTTTATCAGAAGTCCATTCCTTTTTACTGCTGTGTAGTAGTCCATTGTGTGGATATACCCTGATTTGTTTATCTGTTCACCTGTTCAGGGATATTGTGCTTTTTAACCAATGAAACTGTCACGGACATTAATGTAGAAATGTTTGTGTTGACATATATTTTGCTTTCTTTTAGGTAAATACTTAGAGGTGGAACTGCTGGGTCTATGGTAAGGCTATGTTTAACTTTATAAGAAAATGCCAAACGTTTTCCCAAAGAAACCATACCATTTTATATTCCCACCAGAAATATGCACGATTCATTTTCTCCATATCCCAACACCTGGTATTGTCAACCATTTATAATGTGAGCCATTATATTGGGTGTGTAAGTGGTATCTCATTGTGGTTTTATTTTACATTTATCTGATGCCTAGTGATGTTGAGCATTTCTTATATGCTTATTGACCACCAATGTATCTTCTTTTGTAAAGGACCCAATCAAGTCTTTAGTCAATTTCTTGTTTGCTTTTTGTGTTAATATAACTTATAAGAATTTTTTTAAATATAGTCTTCCTGCTAGTCCTTTGTCAGATATATATTTTTGGAATATTTTCTCCTAGTCTTTGCCTTGTCTTTTTATTGTCTTAGTGCTATCTTTTAGAGCAAACCTTTTTAATCTTAATAAAGTCCAATTTATTACTTTTTTATTTTATGTTTTTTCCTTTTTATATTCTATTTACAAAATCTTACTTTGAGTAAATCTTTTAAGCTCTCTGAACTTCAGTTCCTGCTTCTGTAAAATGGGGAGGTTGTAAAGATTGAAAAACTCATAGCAAACATCCAATACATGTGTATGATTGTTCTTAGATGTTAGAACGTATGGTATGGGGGAGCTGTTCTAAGCAGTTCCTCCATCCTGATGTAAACCAGTATTATTTAGATATCATTCCTATTCCTAACAATAGGGTATCTCCTATCTAGTGTAAAGATAATGAAATAAGCAATGGCATTCCCAGGTTGTTGTTTTGGGGACAGGCCAGTGTTCCACTTCAGACCAATCAGACCAAAAGGAAGGCTTTCTTTTCCATAATTAGGAGAAAAGCTTTCCAAGCTCACATTGGAGGGAAACAATGGAGCCCTTTGTCTCACTTGCCACTGGCAGCTCTGTTACAGCCCAGAAGTAAGACAGCCTGAGCACCAAAGTGATGCACGCTGTGCGTGGCCAGCACATGGAGAGAACCTGGCTCCTTGATGAATACACAGAGTAGACTGACCCTTGTACCCATGATACTCTTAAGGGTTCTCCACAATATTTTAATTTCTTTTAAAGTTAGGAGGAAAAAATAAATATTATCCAGCATGAATTACATTTGTCTTTATACCATTGCATTTGTAAAATATAAATTTTTATGGAAGAAGGGGCCCATGAAGGCAAAAGTGCCTAGGGACCATGAAAGTCATAATGTGGCCTTGATGGTTGAGCTTCCAAATCAGCCAGACAAGGACTCTGTCCTACTTCTGAACTCCAGTTTTGTGAAGTAGTATATTTCCTTATGGCCCAAACCAGTTTGAGTCAGATGTGTGTTAGTTGCAGCAGAAAAGGTACTCACTACTAACCTGAGGGATCCTCCTCCTGTTGGAACTCTGGCCTTTGTGATGTATGATGTGCTGTGCCTGGGTCTTGTACTCCAAAGTGGCAGGCCTTGAGTGTTTCTTAGGAGAGGCTGTTGGGAGAGATTCTCAGCTTTTCTTTCCTCGGGCAAGCTGACTGTTCCAGCCACTTCCGTCTGGATCAGCTTCTGAGTACCCCCACCTCAACCCTCTGGCATTTTGTGTGTGTGTGATTTTCAAAGCTTTAAGACTTGAATTCATTCTCTCTTTAATAGTTACTGTCTCAGTAAGTCAAATCTGGCTTTTCTTCACATGATTTGAAAAGTAACCAAGTGAGCCTTTTCTAAGGGAGCCCTCTGCTTCCCAGTTTGCCAGCTATTATATCACAAAGAAAAGTTCATATTATATTTCCTTTAATATTTCTTTTTTTAAAAATTCCCTGAAAGTAATCCCTGGGTCTCAAGGACCCACAAAGTTCTTTAATTAATTGAGTCATGGAGCCAACAAATCCTATGGTTAAAACCTGATTAAGAATATTCAGTGGTATGTGTGCAATCAGAAAGTGAAATTTGTGACAAAAATTAATTCAGCAAAAATACAATATTTTTGGAAAAATTACATAGGGATTAATAGCAGGTTGATCAACTCATCCCAGTTTGCCTGGGACATTTCCAGTTACGGGGCAAACTTAAGTCTGTGTTAGTGGAAAGGTGTAGTGGAAAGAAAGTAGAACAGATAGCCAGGACTTCTTACCTAGACTTTGCCATGCTGTAGCTGGGTAACCATGGCAGTCACTGAACTTCTTGGCATCAGTTCTGCACAAATATTGACCATGGTAACAATATTTATCTATAGTTATTATATTGTACTTACGTGTATTTATCACATTGTTTTTGACTTCCTATTCTTCTAATAATATTAATATCCTAGTTTTCCTTTGGAAACTAACTCATAGTGACAGACTGTGATGAGGTTTGCCCATAGAATACCACTAAGTATACATGAAGGCAAAAATCCTAGGCCGTAAAAATAACAATGTGCCAGTACAAGAATATCAAGGTCCAGAACCTGGCTATTTTGCCTAGCAATGTGGCAAAATTATTGTCTTTTGTAGTGGTTTAAGTTGTTTCTTTATGCTGATAAGACTGGGGATACAAGAACACTGGACCCACAATTTCATCCTTCTCTCAGTTTTACTGGAAGACAGCTCATTCTACATGGGCTGTCAAGACTTTAAGGTTTTAGGCCTGCCTCTGTGAGCCACACAGTAGGTGGGAATCTGGGGCATATTTCATTTATTGCACTTATATCCTTTGCCTGGATGATTCATACTATCCTTGAATAGATGCCGTGGTTTAACCTAGAGCATTTACAGTTAGTATGATTTGCATGGAGCTTATTTTTCCTCTGACACTCTAGGTGAATATGTGCCATAGGCTCTGCCAGTCATAACATCAAATCTCCTATATTCACAGTGATTGGTTCAGAAGTGATAGACATACCCAAAATAACCTCCAATGAAGGGGACAGTGTAGCATAAAGCTTGGATCCAGGATTTGGGGTTCAAGGCCTGACTATGCCACTCACAGGCTGTATGAACTTTGGAAAGTTACTTTACTTCTCTGGGGCTCAGTTTCCTCATATATAAAACATATGTATCTTATAGGGTTTTTATGAGCATTAAGTAAGAGAATGGACAGAAAGCCCTTAGTACAAATCCTTGCACAAAGCTGTTGCTGTTGTGGTATTAATCACTGTGGCCTATCTCTCATGGTCTATGCCATGAGCTTAGTAAATCAGATTCATCAGATGATAGGAAAAAGGAGTCATTAAGGTTTAAAATTTTCTTCATATTTTGTTTGTAACTATATCTAGTTTATGGGATATTTAGAAGTGTCTGAACACTCTGTCCACTGCAATTTGATGACTGGATCATGGAAATGTGTTGCCCCATACTAAGCAACTTCCTGAGATGATGGTATTTTTGGAAGAAATGACTCTGAGATACCTAATTTTTAAAATCTCAAATGGCTTATAAAATTATACTTCCTTACTGATAATAAATAGTAATAGCTAACACTTATGTAGTAGTTACACAGTGTCAGGAACTATAGTAAGCACGTATATGTGTTAACAGCATATTATTATGCCTATTTTATTAAAAAGGAAATTGAGGCACAGGGCAATTTAATAACTTGCCCCGATCACATAGCTAATGAGTAGCAGGGTGGGAGTTCAAAAGCAGGCTGACTGGTGCTAGAACCCATGTTATAAAATCTATGTTACTCCTTCCCCACCACCAACTGAATTTAGGATGGAGGAGCAGAACAGCGGCACGGATGATTTCTTCAATGTAGTACAGCTACAGAGGTTTAAACTGGCTGCATAGACTGAGCAGACTGAAGTTAGAGAAGGCAATAAACTCACCTTGCTAAATTCCTTTGAGCTCAAGGGAACCTAAGATTTTAAAGATCTCTTTCGTGGGAAAAAAAATCACAGGTTTTGAAGAGATTCACAGATATTGATGGCCATGCATTGAGCTTTAATGTCTGTATGCTTTAGAGTTTGTATTTGAATGAAAGATGTCCTATCAGTGTGGCTCAGATCTAAGAGTGGCTGATTAAGGTGTAGTCTAACTGTGCCCAGCAAAGACCCACAGTGGGTATCACTGGCATTCTAGAGACCAAGACACTAACTGCAGAATCAGGCTACAATTAGTGTCCAAACTAGGCAATATTTGGATTCACTTGACTGTAAAAGTATATTCCCTTATAAAGCTGTTGAAGGAGGAGCCAATGCTAGAGCTAGAATTGACTGTATAAGCCACTGCCTTTCACAGAAAGCAATCATTTGTTAACTACTATATTCTTAGTGACATGATAAAGATTGATCACTACTGATAGTCCTATAACATGCTGTTGCAAGAATCATGTTAATTAAATTCTTTGTTTTCTTGGGTTGCTTTCATATTAATGCTTAAAAGTTCAATATTTTTGAATAGGTAAGTTTGTTATTATTATCCATGAAAATATTTTCATGGTGAATACATGTATGGATTTCTGATATACTCTCCATTATTGAAACAAGTCTTTAGAAAGATAGTTTTTAATACTCTTAGTGCTAAAATTCTTTGTTTCTATTTTTGGTCACTGAATTTGAGTCAGTATCATGCCAAGAGGAAAGATGAGTTTAAGTGGGCTTTTGGCAGATGCTAAGTCTTTTCTAATACACACACACATGTGTGCAAGCACACACACACAAACCATTATAAATTTGTATACAGAAGATAATGTGTATTTATTAAATTGATTGCTATAAGGCCCTCAAGCATTACCCTTGTAACTAGTGGCCTATGCTTTAAAGAGGATTCATTGAAATAGACAGAAGTTGGATTGGAGTTTGGCCTCAAAGAATATTGGCAAATTTGTATTTATACAACATTAACTTGCCCTAAGTATTTCATTGGTAAATTCTTTATTTTACTGAGCACCAGACATATTCTTCAGAACATGTTTGATGAAAATTTCTTCTTGAATTGCCAAACAGATATGAGAAAATTCTCAGTCATCTGGAGCTTGTAAACTGTTCTGAAATTTTTGGAATTTTATGAAGGCTTGATTTCA